CTCCACTTAGGCTTGGGAGCACTGGCCTTTATCCATTCCAGAATCGGCTTGATGTCCGGATCGTCCTGCTGTGCATGTTGTAAGCTGTCCTTCCATTCGTTGCTGAGGTGGTCCGTCCTGAGCATCCTCACGGGTACCTCTTCCTTACTCTCTTGCCTAGTACAATGGTTGCAATCTTCAGGACAAGGTCTTCTTGACAATGCATCTGCGTTGCCGTGAGATTTTCCGCTGCGATGTTCGATCTCAAAGTTGTATTCCTGCAGTAGTTCAATCCACCTCGCAACTTGTCCTTCTGGATTTTTAAACTGCGATAGCCATTTTAGTGCAGCATGATCAGTTCGTAAGTGAAATTTTCGTCACAGAAGATATTTGCTAAAATGCTGCAACGACTTTACCACAGCGAGCAATTCGCGTCTTGTGACACAATAGTTCCTTTCCGGTTTCGACAACGACTTGCTGAAGTACGCTATCACGACCTCTTGGTCACCATATCCGGATGTTGAACATCTCAGTCCCCCCCCCCCGTGACTATGGGTGCTGTAAAGTGCTCGAAACGTCGGGAACATAAAAAAATTACTATACGCGATAAAATCCGTAAAAACTAGTATTATTTAAAAGGTTCTATTATTTTTACACGTTTTGCTTACACATTACTACAAATTAGGCGTGTATGTTTATAAATCTAATTTATAATCATTACTACACTAATTTAATTTTTACACATTTTACCTACACCCGATAGTGATTACAAATTAGATTTGTAAAAATACAAATCTAATTTGCTCTTGTGCGATAAGGGAAATCGGTTGAATTCGGGAAAATTACATTATTAATTTTAACTAATTGCTCTTTTTGTTAAATCACGGCAAATGCGATTTTAGTTTTTTTTATTACTTCTTGTACACTGTACTTGTCACATGAAGTACAGCAATCAACGTTTGCAAATATAGTCTAATTTTTTTTCTTACAGGGTTTAACCCTCGATCATAATACCTTTGATGACCAACAAAATTCTATCCCAATGCATAAATCTACATACTACTCAGATTCCTTTACAGTATCATTAATTCCACTTTGGAATTGACGATACTGTAACCCTTCCAGGAGATTTTAAAGATGCTTCCTCAATAAATACAATTAAACAATAGCTTGAGGCACGTTATTTAAAGTTACTTTTATTATGTTTATTTTATTTTTATTGGTTTATACGAGTATATTATGATTTCCTAAACTAGAATGTAGGTTGTTTGAATGGTATAGTATATATTCTATTGTTTATGTGTGTATGTATAGTGTGTTAAATGTATAGTACCCGGATGACCGTTCTGCGCTCGTTTTTTTTTAAATTACATTTAGATACAAATTACATAGGTACTAATATTCATCAGTATATTTTTAACTAACTATTATATAATAGAAAAAAAACTGAATGAACTGTTATTTGAATAAAAAATCATGAGTGCAATTAGTTTAATCAAAATTTTCGTATTTTTAAAAAATAGTAAAAAAGGGCTCGATATAATAGATTTTCTCACAAACAACAGGACGCGAACCAAAGCATTACGATTTCGCGACCGCTCGATATCCACTTGAGCTATTACGATAATTAACACGGTGTCAAAATTTACCTTCTTATATTGTAGCAGTTTTTCATTGCCTGGAAACACGGATAAAAAGACATTTTCCAAACATAAATCCTAGCTAGATCGATTTATTGCCCCCGAAACTCCCTGGACACTAGATTTTATGAAAATCGTTGGAGCCGTTTCCGAGATTCCGATTATATATATATATACAAGAATTGCTCATTGTATCATTGCTCAAGTGTATATATGTATAAACTGACAATTTCTTATAATGTGTAAATAAGCTAGTTTTTACTGTTGCGGCTCTACCCGGTGTCTTTTTAGGGTTCCGTACTCAAAGGGTAAGCAACGGGACTGTATTACTAAGGCTCCGCTGTGCGTCTCTCCGTCCGTCCGTCTCTCTGTCAGTTGGCTGTATCTCATGATCCGTAATAGGTAGACAGTTGAAATTTTCACATAACGTGTATTTCTGTTGCAACAAACAATAAACATAAATAAAAAATACACGGGGGCTCCCCAACTAGAAACGTGTTTTACGATGGTACGGAACCCTTCATATGCGAGTTCGACACATACTTGGCTGGTCATTGAAATTAGGTTCACATTTGAACCAAATAATTTTGATACCAAATAATTATGATTTGATTCTTATATCCATCTATAAATCATTCTTTATATTTTGTTGCCATTAATTTAAATAAGTAAATTAAATATTTCCCCCGTAATATTTATATTTGTAACTTAGCTATTAAGTGAATGTATCGTTTTACTTTCATTACTTTATATATTTAAGTTTATTCTATAAAAATGAAGTGACAGATGAAGTTACAGTCCACCTGATTGTAAATAGCTTATGTGGTTCATGGACACCTCCAGCTTAAGGCTACAAATGCGTTTCCACCTCTTAGAAAGATGGAATGTCTCACAGCTTCTAATTATACTGGCTCTCTATACTTTTAGACCGAAATACAGCAGTGCAATTATTGCTGTCTAGTGTCAGAAATAAGTAAGGGAATGGAATTTTCATTTACGTAATCATATACTAACTGTATTTTTATTTTGTATTTCTTTTGTGTTTTGTACTTTGCATATGGAACTAAATCGAATCTTCCTAATAGACATTTTACACACATTTTTAAATTAGAAATATTCAGTAGCACAAAAATAATACGATTATATCATTGTGACTTTTTAGCATATCTTTTTTTCCTTTTTTTTAAAGTTACCTTCACACAAGGATTTTCTCCCGTATCGTGGTGGCAGTTTACATACATAGATTTCAGGAGGACAAACATTTTTGGACAACAATTATTTGTATCTATAGATACAAATAATTGTATCTATAGATACAAATAACTGTTCCGTGCGGGATTTCAACCAGCGGTCCCTTAGCGCTGCATTTCTTTGCTAAGCTATTGAATTAAAAATAATTTAAATTTATCTAGCGCTAATTATCGATTATTATATTAATTATTAATTTTATATAGTGATGTGCCACTGCTGTTATTGAGTTTCAGACTTGGCCGTAGTATGCATTTGCGGCAAGGAAATCGTATCCCTTTTACTCAGGGACACTGTAAGTGCGATACAAAGCGCACAATTGTCATGCACCCGAACGCCACGCTCCGCTGCACGCTAGAACTAATCGCTAAAGTGTAACGCTTGATATGAGAGGGATCAGCGAGCCGCCACTTAGTACACTGTACCACAAGACTGCGTGTTAACGGAAGTAATGGTAGGTGGTTTGGTGGTATACATATTTTAGTGTAAATACGTTAATTTGTTCTTGTTTTCGTTAGGTTTTAAGAAACACATAATTTATTCAATTATTTTTATATAATTTTTGTGGTTCGCGTAACTGCCACAAAAATTAATCTGTATAATTTATCCATATTTCACTTAATTTAACCCAATTTTCCACCTAAAAACGTGAAATTAATTAAACACTTAACTACCATGGTAAATTTGAAATTTTGTTTTATTATTGAAAAAAACTTTGTTAAATTACAGCAATTATTATATACGTAACATTAAATAAAAATAATAATTAAAATTATAACATTTACAATTAATACTAATTATACACAATATAAAAAAAAGAAACTATAATATAGAAAAACTAACACTAAAAATTTAAATAGTCAAAAAGTCCTGCTCCCCGTGGTATAGTGCCAAGAACGCTGGCTGCGTTTCCTCGCTGAATAGCTATACTTAGCCTTTGAGCGAGGAAAGAACCAGCCTTCTTATCACCAGCAGCGACGACCATTAGCAGATACAGTTCCTTTAGGAACTTCACTGCACGTGGACCCCACGGACCGATAGTTTCGACAGCAAATGGCACAAATATGTAGTCATTTCTCAAAGACTCATGTTTGCGCCATTTACTAAATTCGGCTGCTTCTGATGCCGCCCCGGCTCTAAAAGAGGTACCCTTGAGATGAGAGACCGCCAAAATTTCAACGCAAGTAGCATCCCACACCAGGGCTTTACCTCTCTCCCAAGGGACCAAAGTCATGTCGTCGGGTCTCCTGCCATCGTCTCTAAATATCCCGCAAGGCTCTAAAACCTTTAAGGAGACAAGAGTCCTTCGGATGACTTCGTTCAAAGAACCGTGACGGGAAAACCTACCTGCACTTTTCTTGCATGAAAGTCTTGTTAAGTCACTTTTTATTAAATTGAAACAAAACAATTATATACTTTTTAAATGTTTATAAAATTAAAATATTTGTATCTACATCAGTTCAGTCAATCCGAATGGCGCATTATTCAGTTTTTCTAGAAGAGCAAGCAAGTACTTGAATTGCCTGCAAATTTTAAATGTGTACCGGTTTTTAGACCGCCCTGTCTTTCCCAGTATATTTGATATTGCAATCAAGCATTAGATGTAATGGATAATACGAGTAATTATTAAGGTAAAGAAATGGTTAGCGATCAGTTTGCGAACGGTAATTAAATAGCGATATATTATAAACGTCATCAATCAATCAATCACATTAGTAAACAGCACTGGCATGTTCGACTCATCTTTATGATTGTAAACACTAAAGATACAATATTGCCACCAAATTGTAGCCTCTATTATTACGGCATAAAGTCCATATCCTTTAAAATATATTTCGTTCCAATGTGATAAGCAAGCGAGATGAGCATTTAATCGAGTGCAAGAACAAAAGGCTAACATAAAACGCTCAACGTTCTTGCGAGCCAGTCTATTGGTTACTCATACGGGGACCTCAGGTACCACTGTAACTTAAATAGAATACGAATATATTTTAAGAGCATTTCGTATTCATTCCATTGTTAGACGAAAAGATTTTTCGTGACTAATCGCAAACATTGGTCATAGCAAACAGATTCATCACTTAGCGTTTTGACAGTGGATAAAGTCAGTGATTGAGTCCCATTTTAGTCAAGATGAAGAGTTTAATTTTCATTTTTGCTGTCCTAATAAAATGCTGCTGGAGTTATGGTGAGTACTCAATATCAATAAGTTATTAAATAACATTACAAAATTTTCTAATATTAATAGATTAATATAAAATTGTTAAAAATTATTAAATCTAATAGATTGTTATAAAGCACAAAATAATCATCAAATATCAACAATTTAATCGTACGATATTTTATGTAATTATTTTATAATTCTTGAAATTGGTAAATAAATTGTAATTGTATTTTTAAGTATTATTTTGAAATTGAAACTAAAAATAATTCCTAATCCTATAAATTTAAATATCAATGAAATAATGTATAATTTCATGATTTGTTGATAATTAGCATTTATTATATTAGAGTTACGCAGCGAGCTAACTACTCCATAAATGCATTCTCAAGAATGTGAGGAAGCCTGTACCCGACAGTTAGACGCAAATTGGTTATAACTATACTAATTTATTTGAAGATTAAACATTTAATTAATTTACCGTGTAGTGACAGCATAAGCAAATCATCACACAGTGTACTGTGGATATCGTACGAAACAACTATATTACAGAAAAATAAACTTTTTATTCAATATAGATTGTAAATTATACTTATTGAAAGTCACTCTTATCATTCTTTTACTACTGATTTTTAAAATACCCAGTACAGGCTGAGAAGAAAAAAAGAAAAAGAAACCCAACGGGACTATTTAAAAAAAAACATTTTACAATAATTAAAGTCAGTAGCGATCACCTCATTTCTATTGGTTATTATCATACATAAACTTCTTAATATTTTACCATTTTTATACTTTTTTTTATAACATTTTTAAACAAAAGTTGTATAAACAGATTTTGAAAATTATGACTCGCGTCCTAGATAGGCGGCGATTTACCGTCTAGTATTTTCGGATGTAAAATATCCAGACAGAGGAGTGGTGTCAAAGGTATTTCTAATTTGCTTCTTCCTAAATTTCTATTCTGTTTTATTAATATGTGAGGTGAAAACTTTATACCCCTTTTTAAGCACATTGCGCATCCAGAGGAGTGTGGGATTTGGCATAATTAAAGATTAGAGTATAGATAAAGAGTGCACAAAGCTAAAATTGATATTACAAAATGTGTGAATATGAGTGTACATCAAGGCAAGAGAAAACAATTATTTTATATTGTGTATATAAGATTATCTGCGTTTTACTACTTATTATTATGGCTTGCTTAGTAAAAAACCTTAAAAATTACATGAATTACAAAATTTCGAACACTGTACTGGGGCGACCACTAGTTAAACTAATATTACTAATTTTAACGCGTGCAATTTAAACTTTTTTAATTCCCAAAGTTTGGAAAAAACTGACGGTTGGTAAGAATATATAAACATTTATATAATTATTTACCACTAAATCCACTGTTGTAGGTTCTGTTTTGTTACCTTTTTGTACGTACTGTCGTCATATCAAAGTTGGGTTATATTTTAAAATTATATTCGGACGTATAGTAACCATTACTACCGTAGCACTTTCTTTATCTGCGCGAAGAATAATAAGCTTTTGTCCGCTGCGTAAGTTGGTCTACGCCGAAGTTCGACATAGCAAAGATGAAATATACACGTGGTCTCCAAACCTTCCTTCGCAATATTGTTTTGATATTTGATATTGTAAATAAAAAAATATTAGAAATTAATATAAATAAATATACTGTAAGTTCCTAGCCTTCGTCAACTGTGACATCGGGACGTCAAATATCTCAGTGACCATGGGTGTTGTAAAGTGCCCAAAAAGTCGATGTTAAAAAAGTTTACATTATGTGAGATAAAATCCGTAACTTAGTTTTCTATAATTTTAATAAATATTTCCAATATAAAAAGGGGACCATATTGAGCAATGAAACGTGAGGCTGAAAAGAATTAGAAAACGCTGAAAGAAAGTAAATTCTTTCCCATTACACAAACTATGTGTATGCACAAGAGCATATTTCGCTTTATTACAAGAATTTATTAGTAAATACTAAATACAAAATATCCATGACCAAGGTCAACGATCATGAACTTCAATTGCAGTGAACTTCAGCTTTTGTACTCAAGAGCACTTCCAGTATAGTCTGTGTTATTAGGTTATCGCGATATTTGTAATAATTACCCGCTATCAAACTTCTGACCTATTTCAACTTAAGAAGTGATATAAAATATTATTTATAGTTCATAGATTGATTATTTCTAATATTTTCTTCCTATCTCGTATTTCTTAGTTGTCAGAGGTGATGACGCGTTTTTATTTAAAAAGTAGTATAAAACAAAACAAACAAATAAGTGTAAACAAGTATTTAAACGCCATAGCATTCAGTTACCATTAGGAACAATGTATTCGATTAACACTCACTCATTTAAAAAATGCTTTCCGTTACAAAAAAAATTATAGAAACAGCATCTAAATTAGAAAACAGAATTTTAAAATAAATCTTATTAAATTTATCTAAATTTAATCCATAGCTAAACACTTAAGAAATCTCTTGAAAATGTTTACTGTTACGTTGTCGTTTCTTTAAGCTGATAAATGTCGTTATTTCCATTTAAGTATGCAATAAACAAATTCCGTTCTTTTCCCACACAAGTTAATGCTTAAAAACACTGCGGGAGATTATCTATCTTGAATCTTGATTGGTTATTTATAACTTAATTTAACGCTCGACCTAGGTTCAGACGTATGTGTAATCTGAAGCCTAATTATTTTACAACAATTAATAAGATTAAGACGTTGAAGTTTCTTCTTAAATTAAAAGTAAATTTATATACATAAAAAGTCATCAAATTAACTTTTTTCGTAGAGAAAACCCCTAACAAATACCCGTGGACGATTAATGTGGCCTCTCATCGATTATATCATAGAAATCCTCACACAACCATTTGCAGCCCCACCGAGCTTCTCTACCGCCAGCTCTTTTCGTCAGCTACGCCGTAACAAGGTATAGTTCACTACACGGCTTATTTCTCTTCCAGCGCAATGATAGCCCCCTCACCTAACTCATCTGCACTAAGGTGTTAGGGTCAAAAAAAAATCACTGACAATCACCAGTCACCGAGAATCTGGCCGATGGCTCTGCTACTGACCACTTTTCTGCCGTAAGTCAACGGTGGTCACTTCTCCCACGCAGTAGAAAGAACACGCATCGAGAGTGGGCTCGTCAATCTCACATAATAATAATAATAATATATTTATGTATATTTATCTTTTCATTTTCATTTATAATTATATATTTATAGAACCCAACCAGATGAGAAAACTATGTTGATACCCCACAATAATAATAATAATAACGACCGTATGGAAGGAGAAGGAGCTACACGGAAGGTACTACAGGGCTCTACATGAGCCCCACGTAGATACAGCCGCCTCCCTCAACTCGCTACGTTTCGGTGACCTCTTCGGGGAAACCGAGAGTTTTGTCTGTGCAGTACAATCATTATTAAGACCAACAACTATCGGAGATACATCCTAAAGGATGGCACTGTCGACGTCTGTCGAGCTTGTCGCCATCCTGGGGAGTCACTTAGGCATGTCATCTCCAGTTGTTCGGCGCTTTCTAACTATGAGTACTTGCACAGGCACAACCTAGTAGCCAGAATTCTACACCAGGAGCTCGCTCTGAAATACGGTCTCGTGGACCGGAAATTGCCGTATTACAAATACTTGCCGGAAGCCGTGCTCGAAAATGACCGCGCCAGGCTCTACTGGGACCAGGCCATCATCACCTACAGGACTATTCTTGCGAATAAGCCTGATATTGTGCTGATGGACCGGGCACAGTCAAGGATATTTTTGGTCGACATTACTATTCCGTATGACGAGAACCTCGTGAAAGCCGAAACAGGCAACCTGGCTCATGAGGTGACCGACATGTGGGGTGGTATACCGGCCGAAATTATTCCTGTGGTCGTCTCTGCGAATGGACTAATCTCAGTCAGCCTCTCGGGTCATCTGAGGCGACTGGGACTCCGTGACGGACCGCTCCGGGCTAAAATGCAGAAGGCGGTGCTCCTCGATACCGCCCGCATCGTCCGCCGGTTTCTTTCCCTTTCCTCCAAACCCTCGGCCGTTTGGTCTCCCCTGCCGAGGGCTTCCATCTGGTTGGGCTTTTATTTATTTATGTATTTTTGTATTTATTTTATTTTAATTATATTTATGTATATTTATCTTTTCATTTTAATTTATAATTATATATTTATAGAACCCAACCAGATGAGAAAATTATATAGATAACACACATAATAATAATAATAACCAGATTGTTGGATCTTTATTTATTTATGTATTTTTTGTATTTTTATCAATTTATAATTATATATTTATAGAACCCGACCAGATGAGAAAATTATATAGATACCACACATATATAATAATAACCAGATTATTGGAAAACTTTATTTATACCCCTTAGTATAATTATATTAGAAAACTAGTATATATACCTTTCCATAATAACCAGATGATATATATATAGATACCCCAACCAGATGAGAAAACTATATAGATAACACAAAATAATAACCAGATGAGAAAACTATATTGATACCCCATAGTATAACCAAATATATAATTATATATATAACCCCAACCAGATGAGAAAACTATATAGATACACCCATAATAACCAGAGTGAGAAAACTATAAAGATACCCCATAATAACCAGATGGAAAATTATATAGATACCCCATAAAACCAGATGAGAAAACTATATATATACCCCATAATACCAAAAAAACTATATAGATACCCCATAATAACATATAGAAAACTATATATATATATACCCCATAATAACCAGATGAGAAAACTATATACGAGAGATACCCCATAATAATAATAATAGAGCGGCTACCTCATGCCAGCCCGCCTCCTCAGGCTTACAATGTGTTAAGTCATTCGTACATCTATGACTTATGCCTTAAGAAAATAAAATGAATTTATTATTTGCAAAAGAATATACGTAAAATATATGCCTTTTGATTTATATTTTTTCATTTTAAAAATACAAAGATTTTAAACATTT